AACTAGCACAGTCCTGGGACTTGTCCCAAACCAGGACGAGGTGGTCACTTCTTTTGTCCTCGCCTGTGTCCCTAAACTTAAACTGTCACTAACTTATTGACAACCGCAGAATACTCTGTACATACACTCCAGTGGCTGAAGGGGGCAGCTCAGGAGGAGGCAAGAGGAGACGGGCCAGTTCACTGATCCCCGGTGTTTGCAGGTCTTCGAGAGCTCCTTGCACATGTAGAGCCACGACACCTCCCACTCAGACCTCTGGCCCCACATCTGTGCTGTCTGTGGCGAGGCCCTCAAGCACTTCAGCGATCTCTCAAGGCATCACTTCACACAGCAGCCCAGGCTGCCTCGAGCTCACACCTGCCTGTTCTGTCCCTAGCATTTCCGAGATGCCCAGCAGCTGGCCCAGCACGTCGGGGCCCACTAGGCTGGGCAGTGGAGAGGCAATAGGGGCTCCGTGGGGTCTCTTGTTTCTGGTCCAGAGCATAGGGGCCAGGGGCCTGGCTTCACTGCTTACTTGCTTTGTGACCTGAGACAAGCAACTCCCTTTCTGGGCCTCAGTTTCCTCACTTGTGAAATAGGAACTGGTTTGTGGTTCCTGAACCCCTTCTCTCCCTCGCCCTGCCCAGACACCCTGGCCAGGGCTGAGACGCAGGGGTTTATTGCTGGATCCCTGACTGTGTCCTGGCTCCTCTTTATAGGCTGGTATCGATCAGTGTCCCATTCTGGAACTCAGTTTCCACATCTGTAAAAATGGGACACAGTTCCTATTCCAGGACACATAGGATGAAATGAGACATTAGAATGTCAGGTGTGGTAAGTAGCCTACGAAAGTCAGATACTGTTCAAAGGTAGCACATAATAGCTTCATTACTTTTTGGTAGCAACCCACAGTGCCTACTGTGACAGACTCAAATAATGTTAGTTTTGATACTTTTCCAATTGCTGCAGGGGGGCCGGAACCCGGACGACTTGGATCCTTTCTATTGCGGGTGTGAGTTTCTGGCCAGAGTACTTTCCTGCTGCTCTCCGAATCCCGAAGCTGGTCGGTCCCTGCCTCCTGCTCCAGAAGTCGGAGCATCCCCGGAAGATCACCCTCTTGGCCACCTCAGGACCCAGAACTTTGCTGTGCCTGGGTACGGAGGCAGGGCGGGGTCTGGGGGAGTGAGCAGGCCCGGCAGCGGCGGCATTCTTAGAGTCCTGGCCAATGGAGCAGTGAGGGGTCTTGGTGTCGGCCATCGTGGCCCCCAGGGCAGTGGGCGTTGAAGACTGAGAAGCCGGGAGAGGCAGGGTTGTGGAGGGGCTGCCGAGACCAGGGGGTGAGATCTAGAGAGAGGAAAGCAGAAAGCAGGGAGTGGATTACTTGGACCCTAATTGACCCAGAGTCACAGATCTGGGATTCACTTTACTCCCCAAAAGGGAGAAGGGGTTGTTGCATGTGAAAGCAAGATAAAGTGGGGTGAACAGTGGACCTTGAGAAGAGGGGGTCGTCCAGGAAAGGTTGCTGAGGGAGGCATGGCCCAGACTGCAGGCTAGGGAGGGTTTGGGCAGCAGGAGGGAGGTGAGGGTGCTGGAGTAGGGATCACTCTGCCACTCTCCCTGGAGATCCGAGGTAAGCCTCTGGCCCTTTTGGGAGCTCAGTGGGTGCTTCTGATTGCCAGCCTCCCTGGACTGTTGAGAGGATTAAGCGAGACCCTGGATATGAACGCTCAGTGTGAACTGAAGTTGAGGAGACATGAGTAACCTATCACAAATGAGGCTGGAGGGAGAGAGAGGTTGCTGGGGGCCAAGGTGTTTATTTGGTAGTATTGGGGGCTGGAATGGAAATCCCAGGCAGAGCATGAGCCGAGGCACAGTGCCCCAGAATTTGAGGTGTAAATGGAGAGACAGGATGATCGTTGCAGCTGTCCGGTTAGGGTTGAGTGAGGGCAGGGGTGGGAAAGGTGGCTGAAGCCAGGTTGCAAGAGGCCTTGAATGCCAGGCCAAGGGGTTTATAGTGTTGGCAGAACCCTGGGAGGATTTTAAGCAGAGAAGGTGTTAGAAAGATCCTTCTGGAGCTGGTGGACTGGTGAGTGGGGCGTACAGGTGATGCCTAGCCAGCCCGGCGGGGGGGGGGGGGGTCAGAGTACACGGGATTCCAGAAGGCTAAGGAGGAGGTGGCCACTAGAGGCAAGGGGAAGAATTGCCAGGCAGAGGAAAACTGAAGCCTTTACATGTAGAGCTGTGCAAACTCGAGGTCTGGCCGGGGGCTCTGAGATGCCGTGTGCGGCTGGAGCACAGGAATGAGAGGTGGGGTGGAGCAGTGGCTGGACCACCTCACAAATGACCTCTGATTCCAAGCTGAGGAACTTGGGCTTGGTCCTGAGGGCAACAGGGGACATGGAAAAGTTTAAATGGTGCAGAAGTCACTCTCAACACAGCTGTGAGAATCTTGGGCTGATACGGGACAGGAACTGGAGGTGAGGATCCCGGGAAGAAGTGGATGGAGGGGCTGTTGCTGGAAGCCAGGGTTTGCGCTGGGGTGGCTGTGGGGTCGGATTGAGGAGAAGTGTGAAGTGCTTGCCAGCAGGGGTCACATGCTCTGCCTCAGGTCAGGGATGTATGACCTTAGGCCAATCACACAATCTCTCTAAGCTTCTGTTTCCTTATCTGTAAAATAGGGATCGTAATGGAACTCACCTGGTAGGTCTGCTCTGAGGGTGTAGTGAATTTACCCATGGCTGGTCCTGAGTAACGGCTCAATAAATATTGATCATTGTTGTCATTATTTCTGGGGATAGTGGTGGGTATGGGTGGAGTAGAGTGGGTGTGGCAGGTGTGGCTGTCATGGATGCAACTAGTTATATGGGCCTGAAACTCAAGAGAGGGATCTGGGTGGGAGGCTCAGATTGGGGAATTGTCCGAGTAAACCAGTGGTTCTCAACTGGGAGTGACGTTGCCTGCTAGGGGACATTGGGCAACGTCTGGAGACATTTTGGGTTATTGCCATTGGGGCTTGGGAGAGGATGCTACTGGCATCTGGTGGTTGGGGGCAGGGATGCTGCTCAGCACCCCACAGTGCACAGGACAGCCCCCCACAATGAAGAATACTATGGCCCGAAATGTCAATACTGCTAAAGTTGAGAAACCGTGGTGTAGACAGAAGGTGTGGTTGAAGATACATGAGATGGTGATCCAGGGAGTAGGAAGGAGGACAAACTCAAATGCCTTAAACGTGCAGGCAGCTGACCAGAGCAGGGACAGGCCCCTTACACCAGCCATGCCCTCTCATGCCCCACCCCCGCAATAAAATTACTAGAGGAAGAACTTACAAGGCAGTGCAGTGTTCAGTAGGAATAAAATTCGAGCCACATATAATGTTAAATTTTCCAGTGGCCACACTATAAAAAAAGTGAAAAGAAACAGGTGAAATTAATTTTAATAACATACATTCCTTAACCCAGTATATCCAAAGTATCATGCAAAATGCAATCCAACATTAACATTATTTGTGAGATCATTCGCATTCTCTCTCTCGTTTCTTTTTTTCTTGTACGAAGTCTTGGGAATCTGTTGGGTATTTTGTGTGTGCACAGCGTATCCCAACGCAGAGCAGACATTGAGTGCTGATCGCCTTGTGCGCCTGGGGGCTGCCATTCTGAACATGGAAGCCCTAGGAGATCTTTAATGTTAGCTTCATGTCACAATTGTTGGATCACTTGAAGGTTTTCTGGAAAAGGTGGCTGCTTTCTCAGTTCCAGCTGGTTGTTGCCACATGTAGAAGTGGTTTTCGAAGTGTACCTGGGAATTTGAATTTGTGTGGGCATCCTCTGGCTTTTAGAACATTGCCCCGTAAAATGTTTAAAAAAGAAAACCCCACAAAACCTCGTGGCCCTTGGGCCACCAGTTTGCAACTGGTTGAGGGGTGGTCTTCAGATCTGTCCCATGAGGTAGGTAGCTACTAGTTACACGTGGCGATTTAGATTTAAATTATGGGAAAGTAAATAAAATTTAAAATTCAGCTCCTTGAGCCACATCACAAAAGCGCAGTAATCCCACGTGGCTAGTGACTGTCGTATTGGACAGCGCGCAGATCATGGAACATTTCCACCATTGCAGAAAGTTCTGGTGGACCGCTGTCTAGGACGTAGCTCTGGCTACCACCCTCCTATTCCCGCAGGGCCCCCAGCCGTCCTCAGCACTCTCCCCGCCTCGCCACTGCCTGCTCCGAGGCAAGCGGCGCGCCCTACAAGTTCACGGCAGCTGGAGGACAAGCTGCGGGCGCCAAGCTGGGCCCGGGCGAGGGGTGCGGCTCCCCTGTGCAGCTGCAGGGCACTCGGTGCTCGAGCCCTTGGCGTGCGCGCCTTCCCCCCGGGCCTTCGAGCGCCCAAGCGATCTGAGCCCCCGCGCCGCCCCACACGCCGGCCCGCTCTGCCTCCGCCACTTCCGGGACGTCGCGGCTCCGTGGGCCTCAGCTTCCCCGTCTGCCCTGTGGAAAGTGCCACCCTTTCCTACTTCCCTGCAACATCTTGCCTTCTCTTGCCCTCAGTTTCCCCAGGTGCCCACTGGAAGTATCACCTTCCCCACCTCCGTATCTAGCAACATCTGGCCTTCTGCAGACCTCAGTTTCCGCATTTGCTGGAGAAACATGGCTTGTGCTACATCAGAGCAAACGGCTGGCCTCTGGACCTTGCGTTCTCCGTTTGCTCAGCCCACAGAAATATCCCTTCTCCTCGCCCTCTGCATTGTGGGTGGCTATGCCTGAGCAGGCAGGGTGGCCCAGTGGAAAGAGGACAAACTTGGGCGGGCCAATTCCTTATGGGACTTCGGGCAAAAGACTTAACCCTGCTTAACCTCAGTTTATTGGCCGATCTCCGTCAAAGCGATTGAATTATTCCTGTTCGGGAGGTGGGAGGAGGAACAAGGGGACTGGCTTCTTTGGCGGGTCCCGCGTCTCCAGTCCCCCTGTCCCCCGGGGGCGCTCCATAAAGACGGGCCTTTGGGAACAGCCGCCTCAGAGGCGGCGGAACCTTCGCGCGGAGTTCGAGCGTTTCCGGCCGGCTCCCTTTCCCAGGGACGCCGCCGCCCCTCGCGCCCCCGCGCCCGCGTCCCCAGTCCCCGCGTCCCCGGCGCCGCCGGCCCGGAGCTGCCCGGAAGTCTCGGTCCCGGCGTCGGCGCTCGCCAGAGGAAGCCCGGGGCCGCCCGGGACCTCGGCCTGCTCCTCCGGACCCGAGAGGCCGCTGCACCGGGTACGGGGGCCGGGATGGAGGGAGGAGCCTGGCTCGGGGCCGGCGCCGAGGCCGGGCAAGGCTGGGGGCAGTGAGCTGGGGCCTTCGGCGGTGGGGGTGGGGTGTGGCGGGGAGGGAGACTGTGGGGTTCGGATGGATGGACGAGAGGAGAGTAAGAGGGCCGCCCCAGGGGTTGTAGCCGCATGGGAGTATGGAGGGCGCCCGGACGCTGGTGTTCACAGGAGGAAGAGGAGCAGAGTGAAAGGAGAGGGGTGGAGGGGCCGTGCTATGTACAACAGGGGGAGGGACGCCCCCCTCCCCAGAGTTAAAGACGAGGAGAAATAGAGATGCCAGATGTATCTAGAAAGGAGGGAAAAAGGGCTTGAGAGAGGTAGAGTAGGAAAGGGAATCTAACGGTCCTGGTACCAACGGTCCTGGTATGTATAACGGAGAGTGGAAAGAGGCCCCCAAAGGGTAGAGAAAGAAGTAAACATGTTAGCGTCATATGGAGGGGTGGAGGCATCCTTAGGGGAAAAATAGCAGGTAGCAAGATGGGAGGGGAGCCCTGGGGTGTATAGAAGGAAGGCATTTGGGGCATTCTAGGGATGTATAGATGAAATAGAGAGGATGCGTTCCGTAGTGGGGAGAGGATGGCGAGACCTTGAGAGACAAAGTGTAGGAACAGGATAGCGGGACCTAGTGAAATGTGGGGAATTGGGTTAGTGGGGCTCTGGGATGTACCTACAGAGGAAGTGAGAGAGGCCCTCAGGCATCTAGTGGGACGGAGATCTGGGAGTGCCTGGAGGCTGATGGGGGGCGGGGGAGAGAGGATGCAACCTGAGCTGGGGCTGGGCATTGGGAAGAGAAGAACTGACAGATTAGAGACCTTCCGGAGGAGCCCCGGTGTAAAGGGGGATGTAGTTCTTCCTGGGGTTACAGAGAAAACAAAACAAAGAGGGAAATAGACTTGGAGATTGATTGCCTGCTGGGGGTGGGGGAAGGGGAGGGAAGGTAAGGTAAGTGGGAGGACCACGCCCTCAGACCAGACCTGGGGGCTGAGGGGAGGAGCCTGGAGGAAGGGCAGGTTGTGGTGGGGTTTTGCAGTTGGGGGCCATTCTCAGTGCAGGTTGATGGAACCTGGGAAATCTGGACTGGACTCAGAGTTTTTATTTTGTTGGGGTCAGTGGCGCAGAAAGGGTAACAAGCAGTGAGATGGGGACGCTTTCCCTTTTAGGAAGCTTTTCCTAAAAGGAAGTGGCGATTTTAACTTTTTTCCCCTCCGCCGCTCCCAGCTGCCGCTCCAGATGCTGCTGCTGCCGCCGCGGCCACCCCACCCTCGGTCCTCCTCTCCGGAGGCCATGGACCCACCGTCCCCCAAGGCTCCCCCTTTCCCCAAGGCGGAAGGCCCCTCCTCCACTCCTTCCTCGGCGGCAGGGCCCCGACCCCCGCGGCTGGGCCGCCACCTACTCATCGACGCCAACGGGGTCCCCTACACATATACGGTGCAGCTGGAGGAGGAGCCCCGGGGACCGCCCCAGCGCGAGGCGCCCCCGGGAGAGCCCGGCCCTCGCAAGGGCTACAGCTGCCCAGAGTGCGCCCGTGTCTTTGCTAGCCCTCTGCGGCTGCAGAGCCACCGTGTATCGCACTCGGACCTCAAGCCCTTCACGTGCGGCGCCTGCGGAAAGGCCTTCAAGCGCTCCAGCCACCTGTCGCGGCACCGCGCCACGCACCGTGCCCGCGCCGGCCCACCGCACACCTGCCCGCTCTGCCCACGCCGCTTCCAGGACGCCGCGGAGCTGGCGCAGCACGTGCGCCTCCACTAAGCTCGAGACCCGGCCTGTGCTGCCCTGCCCCTCTCTGGGCCACCAAGTCTGACCCACACAGCGTCACTCCCACACACACTCCCTGGTTCTGAGGTTACTGCCTTATTCTGGGCCTCAGTTTCCCCATCTTCCAAAAGGAGAAGCATCATTCTTTCCCCCTTTTTCTAGCTGTGTGATGTAGACCAAAGTCATTGCCCTTCCCTGGACCTGGGAGCCAGTCGGAACTGGGTTCCGGTCCAGCTGTGCTGTGAGCCTTTGCAAGTGAAGTGACCTCTCTGTGAGCCTTGGTTTTCTGCTATCTGAAGTGGTGAACCGGTTGTTGTCCTAGAGGAGAAGAGATAACAAAAGAGCACGGGCACGGTCTGGTTCATTTCTGTATCTCCCCCACTTCTGCTCACGACCTCCACCCTTTGCTCAATAAACATTCCGCACTCCATTTTTAGGCTCTTAATTGCGCGCGCGCGCGCGTGTGTGTGTGTGTGCGCGTGCGTGTGTGTGTGAGTGTGTGTGTGTGTGTGTGTGTGTGTGTGTGTGTGTGTGTGTTGGGTGTGGGGGGATGGGTGACCGGACCTTGAGCACCTGGGAACCTTTCTCTGGGAATGTGTTTCCGGCCGGAGGTGTTTAGCGAATGCTCAGGCGCCCCGCCCCCACCTTCCTCCCCGGGACCCTCTTCTCTCTCCCCGGGTTCTCTCTCCCTTTACCCGGCGCCGCCTGCTCCTAGGGGACACCCGGAGGCCCCCGTCCCGCCGCCGCCTGCAACTACGAGGGCATCCCGGGGCCATCTGGAGTCGCCCGGACCTGAGAGGCTGCTGCACTGGGTACGGGGGCCGGGAGGAGGGAGGGAACTGGGAGCGGGCGGCGGAGAGGGGCGGGGCCGGGTGGAGGAATACCTGTGCACGGGGCTGGCGTCCAGAGGGGGCTGTTCTGGGGCTCCGAGGGGCCCTTCCGAGAACTTACATAGACAGGCTCAGAAGGCGAGGGCCGCGGACCCGGGAGTGGGCTCCTGGAGAGCGCAAGGACCTAGAAAAAGCTGGGGTGGTGGTGGATGGGCGAGGACTAGAGAGAACCTGGAGGTAGGTAGGTGGGTGAGGGGAGGGGGCACAGAGTTGTTCAGGGAGGAGGCTAGAGGGCGGGTTAGAGCCTGGGGATCCTAAGGTTGCAGTCCACTGGAGTAGGCTTGGCCTTACGTAGAGGTGGTAGAAAACGCTTGTGAGCGGAGTGTATAGGATGGACTAACACTCAGACCCAGGTCGAAACCATATAGAGGGAAAAGAGGTCTGGAGATCTACGGGGTGGGCTACTCAGTGGCCTGGGGAGGGCACACGGGGGAAAGAGATCGAGGGCCTCCTGGCTGTGTATGGAGGGTAAAGAGATCCTGTGAGTACACTAGGTGGTGGGGCACCAAGGATAGGGTAGGTTTTCAAAGAAGGGAGACCCTGGGAACGTTACAGAGGGTCACTGAGTGGAGGGGTGGGTAGAAGAGAGACTGACGGGAGGGGGATGCGGAGGTCCTGGGCCGGGTATGTAGAGGGCAAACAGTGGAGCCTGTGGTGCTGAGCGTCTCTCTTCTATGTAACATTCTCCTCCTCTCTCCCCTGCACCAGTCCTCAGCCACCCCTCCGGATGCTGGTGCTGCCGTCCCCTCAGCCCCTGGCACTTTCCTCTAGTGAGGCCATGGACGACCCTCCCCGTCGGAAAGGCCGGTCCCCAGAACCTGGACCTTCCTCCTCCACAGGATCTCCCCAGACTTCGTCCCCTCCGAGGCCCAATCACTACCTGCTCATTGACACCCAGGGTGTCCCCTACACAGTGCTGGTGGGTGAGGAGTCACAGAGGGAGCCAGGGGCTGACGGCACCTCAGCCCAGAAAAAGTGCTACAGCTGCCCCGTATGTTCAAGGGTCTTCGAGTACATGTCTTACCTTCAGCGACACAGCATCACCCACTCAGAGGTGAAGCCCTTCGAGTGTGACACCTGTGGGAAGGCATTTAAGCGGGCCAGCCACCTGGCCAGGCACCACTCCATTCATCGGGCAGGTGGTGGGCGGCCCCATGGCTGTCCGCTCTGCCCTCGCCGCTTCCGGGATGCAGGTGAGCTGGCCCAGCACAGCCGGGTGCATTCAGGAGAGCGCCCGTTTCAGTGCCCACACTGCCCTCGCCGCTTTATGGAGCAGAACACGCTGCAGAAGCACACTCGGTGGAAGCACCCGTGAGCTGGGCTGCTGAGTGCCCCAGGTGCCATGGAACTCAGGGGGACACCTGGTGCCTGGAGGTTGGCTTCCAGGGCCCTGGACATAAACACAGACCAACCTCATCCTGGAGGCCGAGCCATGCCTGAAGGAGGAGCCCGTGAGTAATCTTCACGCCCTCCTGTTTCGGAGCTTTGATGGGGATGAGACCTCACACGGAATGGAGTCCTCTAGCCTCAAAGACATCAGATATTCCATGGCCATGGTGAAGCCTTGACTAGAAGGGTGGGTGGGGGGACAGTGCAGTGTGTGGACATGCTCTGGCCCCGTAAAAGTGGCTGGGGCCATCGTGAATCTATATAATTTTTTCAAGGCCTCCATGCTGATGTTGGGGAAAGGGGCCCCGGATCTGCCTCCCAGTGCCCAACCAGGCCTGAGACTGGACAAATAATAAACATGTTTCCCACTTTGAGCACTTGACGTCTGTTTTTGGAGACAGCACCTTGGAGCATGTTTGTGATGGCTGCTTAGCAGGGAGACCCCAGCAAGTGCCTGGTCCACCGCAGGCCTCAGCTTGCCTGGCTGAGGAATGAGAAGGTTGGCTTGCATTGGAGTTGGGCCCACCTCAGCTTCTGAAGACCTGTGTCATCTGGGAAGAGTGTTTTTAAATTAAAGAAAAAACAATTTTTTTTTTAAAACCACAATCCACTGCAACAAACACACTTTATAGGGCAACCCAGTATACAGATAGGCAAAATATATGTGAAAAGTTTCTTTAACAATAGTTACCTTTGGTATGTGCAGGGCATGAGAATGTTTCTTTCATTGACATTATTTTTTTAACTGCTGAGTCCATCCTACTTTATTGAATTCTCCACCCGGGAACCTGTAGATTGAAAAAGACCAATCTAGGGCAGGTGGCTCCCCCTGGACTTTTAGATCCAGGTTGCAATTTATCTGTGAAGTCAGTCGAAGAGGGGAGGAGTGTGGTCACAGCTTTCCAGGTGGTGCAGACATTTAGATTCTCCCTCCACAGGATGAAAACCATGCTCTCATAAGGGCTGGTGGAATTCCAGAGCATGGAGCAGGAGGAGGAAGACAGGCGGAGTTGAGCCTTAAGCTTAATAGACATCTGCTTCCTTAATTCATTTTCCTTTCTTGTCTATTTTGTGCCAGGCACTGTGCTAGGCCTCATTTCTTCTTCTGACCCCCTTTTGGGCAGAACGAATCTCCCATACGTATTCCCCAGGGTGGGTAAGAAGCAGAGGCAGTGTTTAGAACCACCATCCCATCTCAAATACTACTAAGTGCACTGATCTTGAGCTCTGACTATGGCGGGGCGTTGGGCTGAGCTTTTGCGTGTGTCATATCACGGCAGCCTCGGAAAGGAATTTAGAAGGGATTATAACCTTCCCCTTCTACAGGTGCGAAAATAGGCTGGGGAGCAACAGGAGCGGTCAGGACAGGAATCCAGCTCTGCTCCAAAGCCAGCTCTTAATCAGCAACATGGGCGTGGGGGTGGTATGTTCCTGGCCCTCATTTTCTGGGAGGGGGTAACACTCCATCCCCATCTTGGCCTTTACATCCTTTGGGTCTGGCTGTGGGAGACGGGGCAGTTGGGAGGTCTGCACCAGTCAGTTCCTGGAAGATCGCCAAAATGAGATCTCCTTTCGCTTCAACTTTCCTGGCTGTCTCACGCACCCCTCTGCCTTCTCCCGGGCCACTCCGCGCATCGCCACCCACCAAGGGGACCCCCGGAGCCGCGCCAGCTCTCCAGGATGGGAATTTCGTGACGTTCCCTGCCTGGGCTTCAGCGAGGGCGGGGTGGAGCGCCGTAAGGGGCTATCACGCAAGTGCATCCCCTGGCCTCCGCCGCAAACGGCGGTTCTCACCTGGGCCGGGGGACTCCTGGAGGAGGAGCGCCGGCCTGGCGAGACCGGTCGAGTCCCCGCGTCTCTACCCGCCCCGCCGCCCAGTTCCGAGACTCTCATCCCCCGTCCGCCGCCCCGCCCTCTCGCGGGTGGGTGGGCGCTTCCCTCCGCTCCCCGTGACACTTTGCAGACGCTCCCCGGCGCCGGGCATGGGCGCCGCCGCCACCATCGGTCCCCGGGCAGGATTCCGCGCGCGGGTGGGTGAGCGCGGGGGGCCCCGGCCCCTCGGACCCCGGGCATCCACGGGCGGGGGATGGTGGCCGCGTTTGCACCCCTGGCCGGGTGCATGCCCTCGCTGGGACTTATTTCCACGACTGCTCCCCCTCCCACCCGCGGGACAAAGGGCGGGGGCGGGGGGCACATCCCCACGCGTGACCTTCCTTCGTACTGCGCACGCATCCAGCACCCCCCACCATGGGGGAGGGGTCCTGGTCGCCCACGCGAGTGCGGGGGAGGGGTGTGGGGCTCCCGGGGCTGGGGGAGGCACCGCGCGTGGGCTGGGTCTGCACGCTGTGGTTGGAAGTTGGGGCACAGTTTCCCCCCTGCACCCACCGCTTCTTTTGGCCGAGAGGTGGCCCGTGATTAGGGTCATTCCCAGGCAGGCCAGGGTGTACCTGTTTAGTCCACTCCATGGGAAACCAGCAATTTAGGGCTCCAGCTCCTTTTTCCCTCAATACTCAGGAGCCCAGGTCCCCAGTCCACTTCTCCCGACCTAGGTGTCTGGGCCCCCAGCACCCTCATTCCCTAGATTCCAGGAGTTTGAAACCTCACCTCAGTCCTGGAGTTCAGGCCCATAGGTCCTTCCTCTCTCACTTCTGAGGGGCCAGGGCCCCCGAGTCCATCCACGTCCCTCCATTTGTGGCTGCTGTTTCTGTCCAGTGCCCCTGAGGCGCTCAGCTGCCGGGTCCGCAGGAAGCAGAGCCATGAATGACCGAAACAGCCGGAGGCGGACAAGTGAGGAAGCGGGGCCCCCTTCCCTACCCTTGTCCCAATGTGGCCTGCCCACCCTGCCCCCTCCTGCCCAGGGCTGCTGTGGTTGGGGGTGGCCAGAGGAGGCTGAGGAATTCTCTGGGGTGACCCCGGGCCTCTCCTCTCCAGTGAAGAAGGATGATGAGGCCTTCGAGATCTCCATCCCCTTCGATGAGGCGCCCCACCTAGACTCACAGATCTTTTACAGCCTGAGCCCCTCTCGGGGAAACTTCGAGGGTGAGCTGAGGGGGTCAGGGAGGGACTGGAACCAGCAAGGTGCCGCTAGAGCCCTGGAGTGTGACCTGTGTCCCCTGCTGCTCCCTGCTGTCCCCAGAGCCTCCGGAGGCTGCGTCCCCCACCCTAGCCCTAATGAACAGCGTCAAGGCCCAGCTACACATGGCCCTGGAGAGGAACTCCTGGTTGCAGAAGCGCATAGAAGACCTGGAGGAAGAGAGGGACTTCTTGCGGTGTCAGTTGGACAAATTCATCTCTTCTGCCCGGATGGATGCAGGTGGGGGGGGGCGCCGATATAGTCCCCTCCCTGTCCCACTCCTGGGCATTCTGGCACCCAGATCAACCACAGGCCTGAAGCCCCACCGCTCGGCTGGCTCTGTGGGGGCCTGGCATCTTAACCTCTCCACTAGCCCTCTGCCTGTTTTGGGGACCCCAAGCCCAGCTTCCTTCTTGCTTGATGTTCAAGGTCTCTCATCCCCAGGTACCGTCTATCCCCTGCCTTCCCTGTTGGCTCCCCCAAATCTCACCAGCCTCAAGCACCCTGAAGTCTGTTTCCTCAGCCCACAGTGCCTTCAGGGACTCTGGGACCCGTGTCCAGGTTCCTTCTTCCTGACTGCTAGGGGCAGCCTCCCTCATCTCCACCCTGGTCCTTTGTGTTTCCTCAGAGGCCTGCTCCTCACCTCTCAGCCTGGTCTTGGAAGACCAAGAGTCCAAGCATCCAGCCTTGTCCCCAGCCCTGTTTGACACCCTGTCTTCTCACCCATCCTGTCCCACACCTTGGCTAATTAATGCTCCTTCCCAAGCAAAGACATCAAGTCCCTTGCCACTGGACTCAGCCTCTCCCCTGGTGGGACCTCTTTGGGTTGGGATCTCAGCATCTGTTTTCCCCCATACCCTGCCTCAGAGTTTCTGGGCAGCCTCCACCTGCTTACCCGGCACTGCTATAATTCCTGACCAGTAGCAGCCCAGGGAGCTCTTACAGCTGATATTCATGCTGTCCTAAGGCCAAGCCAGTTTACAGCGAGTATTTTCTTCTCATTGGTGGGATGCCGTGCCCTGCTTGCTAATATATTTTGAGCACTACACTCATCCCCTTCCTCAGGTGGTCAGGGCTTTCCTTTGCCAGATCTTTAGTCCATGTCTTGGAGTTCACTCCCCATGGAAGCCCCCGTGGGCCCCTTGCAGCTCCCTGGCTGGGAAGTCCCCTCAAAAGCTCCCACATCCCTGTGAATTCACCCCTTTCCCTCAAAAGTCTGGGCAAGGGGCTTGTGGTCTTTTGGTGTTTAAGTTACTAGGGACCCCAGCCTCTGGGTATCCAGCTGTTCCTCTGCTCTGGAGCCTGGGTCACCACCAGCACCGTCTCCTCACTCTGACGATTCCATCCTGGGCAACTTGCTCCCTTCCCCCACTGTTCGGGCCCCAGGGCCTCTGGATTTTCTCAGTGGGGACCCTATCACCAGACCTGTCTCCTAACTCACCTTTTGGAGGACTGTGGCTGACACTCAGCTGGCTCCCTCCATCCAGGCAGAAGTGGTCACCTTCCCCAGCCTGCCAGACCCAGAGCCCCCAATATCTCAGGGTCTGCCACGCCCCCCAGCCAAGGTCTTGCCTGCCTCCTGGGCTTCCAGACTCCACTCTCTGGAGGTTCCATCAAGTCCCCAGAAAGCCCCTCCCCTACTGTGGGAACGCCATGTAGTCACAGACCCTCCTGGGATCCCTGGTCCTGGTCAACTCAGTCCCCTCCCCCAGACCGCTTACCAACTGCCCATGACTGCCTCCCCAAAACTCCAGCCGGTTCTACCCTTTCCAGCCATGGCCTGCGTCTATACTCCACTCTCTGTCTTTGTGTCTCGTTGGGGACTCCAGTTTGGGGACTTGGCTTCCAGGCACCAAGGTCCCCTCTTTTCCCCCTGGGATCTGTGATGTGATGTCTGGTCCCACAGTTCATGTGTGTGTGTGTCTCTCTCTCCCCAGAGGACCACTGCCGGGTGAAGACCGGGCCCCGGCGAGTGGAGGGGGACAGCCGGGGTGGGGCTGGGGGCGAGGCCTCTGACCTGGAGTCAGCAGCCTCCTCCCTCAGCGGAGCGTCCGAAGAAGGCAGCGCCAGCGAGAGGCGGCGGCAGAGGCAGAAGGGAGGCGCCGGCCGGAGGCGCCTGGGGAAGCCCAAGGCCCGGGAGAGGCAGCGGGGTGAGCGGGGTGCGTGGGGCGGACGCTGAGCGGTGTGGGGCGCGGACTTGCTGTGTGTCCTCCCGAGAAGCTCCCCTCTCCTCTCCAAGCCTTGGCCTCCTTAGCTGTGAAAAACCAGACCTGGCTCCGCTGCCCCCCATCCAAGTGTGGTCCTGGGTTTAGCTTCCTCACACCTTGGGCCACCCTCACCAGCAGTGCTACCTTGGGCACGTCCTTACTCTTCCTGAGCCTAAGTTTCCTCATCAGTGAAAAAGGGGAGGGCGCTGGAACCTACGTGACTGGGCGGGGTGGGAAGGGGCAGGAGGGGGCTGTGGCTCAGGTGGGGGTCTGGGAACTCTTGGTTTAACCCAGTCTCTGCTCATTTCTCTCCCCATCCTCTCTGGGCCTACCTTCAATTTCCCACTGGCCCGAACTCCACCTGCACTTGTCCCGTCTCCCCTTTCTCGTGTTTTCCGTGTTGTTCTCCATGTCCTCCTGGACTGGGCTCCTTATCCGTCCCGGCCTTGGCCCTTCCCTCCCGTGCCCATTCCTTTCCTCTGTGCGCCCCACCTCGTCTCCTCCGCCCCCCACCCGGGGCCCCGCAGTGAAGGACGCGGACGGGGTTCTCTGCCGCTATAAGAAGATCCTGGGCACCTTCCAGAAGCTGAAGAGCATGTCGCGGGCCTTCGAGCACCACCGCGTGGACCGCAACACGGTGGCGCTGACCACGCCCATCGCCGAGCTGCTCATCGTGGCCCCCGAGAAGCTGGCCGAGGTGGGAGAGTTCGACCCCTCCAAGGAGCGCCTCCTCGAGTACTCCCGCCGCTGCTTCCTGGCCCTGGACGACGAGACGCTCAAGAAGGTGCAGGCGCTCAAGAAGAGCAAGCTGCTGCTCCCCATCACCTACCGCTTCAAGCGGTGATGCCGGCCCGGGTGCACGAGCCGGGCGCTCCGCACGGGGCCTCCACGGGCGGGCGGCGTCTCTGCGCGCGCTCCTCCTCCTCCCGCAGGCCCCCACTCCCACCCTGGGGCCCGTTGTATATAGCCCTGTCCCCTCTCCCCCGCCGTCCTAGCATCCTCCGCATCCTCCGGTGGGAGGGGTCCCCCTCAGTCAGGCTCCCCAGAGCCGCTGCCCCTTACTGAACACGGCGTCCCCGCCACGCGGGCCGCGCCAGCCCTGCCCTCGCCGGGCCCCTCGCTCCCGGGAACGCTGGCTGGCCGGGTGCCCCTCTCTCCGGGGGACGCGGGGGAGTCTGTGTATGCCCCCCGCCCGGGGAGAGGCTGGCCCGCCTGTTCCCCTGCCAGGAGCTGCCCACCCACATTCCCGGACGGACCACTCCCATTCCACGTGAGACAGAGAATTATTCAGAGAATTTAAATTAAAAAAGAGACGTGAAAATTTGGAATAAACTAGGCCTCAGCCTCTTCCTAGGAGGGGGACGTGCCTGGGAAGGGGCGGCTGTCGCCTCGGAGATGGTGACGAGGCTGGTGAGCTGGTTCCAGGGAGCGGCGGTCAGGCGGGAAGCAGGGAGGTTGGGGAGGACAGGGTGTAATTAGCCCCTTGGAGGCAGAGGTGGGAGGGGGAGAAGCAGCTGTGCCCCAGGAAACCCGGGGGGGGGCAGAGCTCTGGAAGAGAAGTGTGGACACTTCCCGGCTGGGCTCTCTGGAGCAGCGGCGGGGCGGCAGGAGGCGGGACTCAGTGACCTCCAGCCGCGGCCACCTCGGGGACCAGGGGCTGTCTGGGCGGACGGTTTCGCCGGCCCACCAGAGGGCGGTAAGGAGATAGTATCATTTTATCGGACGTATTTTCCAAATGTCTCCTGCGCCTGCGCGGTGGGAGGGACAAGAACACCCTTCCTGCGGTTGCCAAGGCAACCAGGAGAGGGCGGCCTTGCCCAACGGTCAGGAATTCGGTGCCTTCCCTCCAGGAAGGGAAAATCTCCCGCACGCGCACTGCGGACTCTGGAACCCGCCCCCTCCTTACTGGAGCAGTGAGGAACCTCGCCGCGGACAGATTTCTACGCAGGCGCAGAAGCCCGTTTCGGCCCCTCGGCTTCCACCCTGCACAGGCGCACAAAAGTCGCGCAGGCAACCTCCGCAGCGGCGGCGCGCACCCTTCGCTCGCTGGCTGCTTTTGTCTCACGCAACCTTCTCAGGTCTTCCGCCAGGTTGGCCCTTCTTTTCTTCCATTCTCCGCACCGGGAGAGCCAGGTGCTGAGAGGCGGGACCCCGCCCCCTTTTCTGTATCCCTTTCCCTGATCCATCTTGCCTTCGTCCTCCCTCCCTTTTCTGTTCCCGAGCCGGAAGGAGCCGAAGCGTTGACGGAAAAATCCGAAGCTGTGCCCCTTGAGTTAGGCCTTCACGAAGCGGAGGCGGAAGGAGCCGAAGTTCTCCGGCAGGGGAGGAGTGAACGAGTGGAATCTCCGGAAAGAGCCGAATCTTGGAATCGAGCGTAATCTCTGGAGGGACCCGAGGGCGAGCACCGGAAACCTTCGGCAGGGGCCGAAGTCCGGGACGGTTAGGCTTGTCGGAAGTGGACGATTGTTTGGACAGGGCCGGCGGAGAAGGCGGGGCGCGTCTGCCGGAGAAGCCAAAGGCTGGGACGGTTTGAATTGTCAGAAAACGCCAAACCCTTAGAGCGGGCTGGGCGCAGAGGAACGCGAGGACCCGCAGAAACCTCCGAACGTTGAGGAGCTGATCTCCGAAAAGTTACGGAGACCTGGGAAGCCGGCAAAACCCTCGCTTCGGGTGTTGTCGGAAGCAGCCGAAACCGCCGCCTGCCGACCCCTTCAAGCCACTCGCCGGAAATAGCCGACGCGCTTCGGAGCCAGGC